TTTCAGGTTAGAGTAGAGGGCTCTCTGTCTGATAACAGAGAGATCCTCGCTGGAGTGCCACAGGGGGCTGTGCTCTCTCCGACGCTGTATTCTCTTTACACCAGTGACCTCCCAAGGTCCGAGCGTATGAAGATATCCCTGTACGCCGATGACACGGCTCTTCTCTCATTTCCATGTGTCGAGAGCTCGGCGTCGTCTACATGCAACGTGCATTGGACGACCTCGAGCGCTGGTACCTTGATTGGAAGATCCGAGTAAACCCGGACAAGACTCAGGTGATAACCATGGGAAGATTGCTATCTTCTTCGGCCAGAAAAGTGAGAATCTCTGGAAGGGAGATTGACTGGCAAGCGCGGGTAAAGTACCTCGGCCTTCTAATAGACCGTAGGCTCACTTGGAACCCGCACATTATGTACGTCAAATCTAGGATCGAGGGTTGGATTGCAAGTCTGTACCTTCTGATCAACAGAAAGTCAAAATTGAGCTTGAAAAACAAGATTAACATCAACAACACGATGTTCAAGCCTGTCATCATGTATGCTTCAGGCGTATGGGGACAAGCGGCGAAATATAATATCTCCATTCTGGAGGTATTGCAAAATGAACTAATGAGGATGATTGTGAATGCTCCTTGGTTCGTGCGGAATGAAGCCATCCGCAGAGATTTGCAGCTGCCTTCCATTCGGCAGTCCATTCAGTCGAGGAATCGGCGAGTTTTCGAAGGTGCGGAAACTCACGAAAATCCGTTCGTTAGGGAAGCTATAGACTATGCTGTAGACGACCCCTCCCGATATAGAAGGCCCCGACACTCTGTCGAATGAGGCCCTCATGTCCCCCGTTAACGGACGAATAGCTTTTTCATCCATCACAATGCAAAAAATTGGTTTTCCGTCAACTTCATGCAATTAAATGATCAGAAGACTCAAAAATTAATCATTTCAACAAACAACAACTATACAACAGGTGCACATTGTAAACTTCTGGGTATTACAATCGATGACTCTCTTAATTGGTACACGCATACAGAAAATTTAAACAAAGGTCTTCTAAGAAGGCTACGATGTATTGTCAATCCAGACATTTTGAGAAATACATATTTTGGTTTATTTCACTCCCGAATTAGTTATGGCACAATATTATGGGGTAATTCCTGCCATGCCGCAAAATTTCTCAGGTCTCAAAAAAAGGATATACGCCTGATAACCGGAGTAGGTCCTAGAGAGCACTGCCGTGACTTATTTATGAAACTGATCATAATGACGCTTCCATGTATTTACATTTTCAAAACTGTCTGTGAAATACACGAAAATAAAAGAAACTATTCTTACAACTCTGATACTCACACACATGATACTAGATCTGCTAACCAAATAGCGTTGCCAAAATCCAAAACGAACTCCATAAATTTCAAACTTTACAACAAGTTGACTTCAGAGATGCGATCACTGAAAAATTCTGAATTCAAAAAGGCTATTAGAGATGTACTTTCAGATCACCGTTTTTATAGTATAAATGAATTTTTGAATAGTTAATAATCAATGGATTAATATATTGAACAATAATCCTTCACTGATATAATAATAATAATAATAATTCATTTATTGACTACCTTATGAGAAACATTATTTGTAGCAGGTCAATTACAAGATATATATGTGACAATCAAAGCACCTTATCAAAATAAATAAAAATATGAGATGAATATAGTCGGTATCTGAAAATATTCGTTCACTGTGTAGAGACTGTGAGCTATTAAGAGTTTTTTTATCTTAAATTTAAATTCGGCATAACTCAATTTTTTATAGTACTCTGGCAAAAAATTATAAAGGTTCAAATTTAAACTGTTTCGAGATGAAGTCTCTATTCTAAATCTTTTATTTAGAAGGAAAGAACCATGCCTAGTATTATATGTATGGTTTGTGTCACTTCTAGGATATGTATGGCAATTTTTGTGAATCTCCAGTAAACTCAAATAAATATAAATAGAAGGAACTGTTAATATGTTGAGTTTTTGAAAGTAATTTCGGTAAGAGTCCCGAAAACCTAAACCGGCGACTATTCCTACAGCACGTTTCTGTAATGTCAGGATTCGATGAGCATGTGTAGAGTTGCCACATAACACAGTTCCATTGGATACATGAGAATGGAATAAATGAGAAATATGAGATCAGAAGCACATCCGGACTAACTGATTTTTTGAATCTCTTTAACAAAAATAGTTGACTAGATAGTTTATTTGCTAGGCAGTCAATATGTTCTGTCCACTTGAGGGGCTGGTCTAAGGTTATACCTAAAAGTTTTACGGAGTCATGCTGATTCAATTTACTGCTCATAGTGAAGGTAATTTCCTGAGTTTTTGTCTCATTTTTTGTTGTTTTAAAACTAAATGTAACAAAAAGTTTTTTTATTGATTTATATATACCACGTCTCTTTATGACCATTTTTGATATATGACATGCTGTAAACTTATTGTAAAACAGTCAAATAAATCTATCTATCTATCATCCCACCCCAGCCAGGTAGGGGTACCCCGTGAAGGGCGGTACTGATGTCTGAGGACTTCCCTCAGTCATGAACTCATTGGTCCTTCTCGACAATAATCAGCTGAAAGGGTAAGGGAGCTGGACTTCAACCTGATTGAACTTAAGATGACTTTCCACTTTATATTGTTTCTCAAATATTGTGAAATTGGCCGCGGTGGTAGTGCGCCCGAGTCACGATCGGAAGACCGTGGGTTCGATTCCCGCTTTGACCAGATATTTTTCTCGAGAGAATTTATCTGGTTGAAACTGGGATGATTCTGCAACCGTGTTGAGAATCACACGTTAAAAGGTAAGACCTCGTTAGTCCTTAGCTAGCACAAGTTCTCAACTTTTGAGAGTTGTCGTTAGTATGGGGGTGACAGCTGATTTTAAACAGATTTTACAAATTATCTCACGTACTATATGCAACATTATACTTATATCATCACTTTTGGAATACCCACACTAGAAACAATATAGCCTCATGTCACCCAGTGCTAAATAATTTATCCGAAAAGCGAACAACAGACAAAATCTATTAATTACCAGCAAAGACAATTTTTCAAATTTAATACAATCATAATATGTCGGCGAATGTTAACTAACGCATTAGTATGGGCATCGAATAATATTCTCTTACTAAAAGGAGTATAACTGTGGTATGGGCAACATCATCTATCAACGATCAATTGACCAAAGAGTACACCGACTAAAGTGAACTCTTTGCTAAAATAAATAGAAATATAAACTATTGGCACCATCTTGCGGCAACGTCAGAACTACCCCAATGAGCCTTTTTCCTGAGAATAGTACAGCGAACGTGTCACGAGAGGCAGCACTAGTAGTAAGGACAAATATAAACTATTCACATGTAAAACAGTGTTATTTACGTAATATTAATTTATTATTTAAAAATATAAATCTGATATAAAAAATTATTTTGTGCTAGTATAATGCCAACAAAGCATTGCTGTTTTGCGAATTGTACGTCGGATAATCGATATCCGGAAGAAAACGTGTTTTTTATACCATTTATAAAACCTCATATTAATGAGGTTAGATGTGAGAAATGAAATAATGAAAAAATGAATAAATATTCATATATATGCTCTAAACATGAAATTAATAGTACATTTTTCATAGTCAATTACCATTGATTAGAAATGAGATATAAGCTCAATCGTTTATTAAATTATATTCAATTAAATTTATTTCATTACCATCTATATTTGATTCACATTTCTCTCGGAAATAAGTCTGAAATTCATAATTATTTTGAATTTCTTTTATTACAGTTTGAATCTACCGCTACTCGTTTACTAGAGTCTGTATACTAACCTGTCTATTAATTCACTTTTTTTCCAATTACTTTTAAATTACGGCATGAAAGCCAACGTTTTAATGTTACAACATTGTTATCCTTTACAGTTGCAAATTTTAGTTTTGCTCCAGGAACATTTTCTTCTAAAACATGATTTTTTAATTGTACTTTACCATATGTTTATATGAGGTTTAGGCAGTGTTTGTACCTACCGAACTACTAGCGCTGCTAGTGAGTGATTTTTCGTACTTCAGGAAAAAGGTTCATTGGTCTACAACAATTTCTGAAACGAAAGCGTATCACATCATTCACTTGCGTATAGGCATCTTAGCGTAGGTTTGTCTTTTGGTACTCCGAGGCGTAGGCGTATGGAAGAAAAAGAAAAAATATACCAGAGAATGCTAATAGTGCGTTCCACTAAGCGTTTACAACGATCACGCTCACAATGTACAACCGCAGTTTTCTCGTTCCACTTAATTACGAGCGTAACTGTCGCAAACTCGAGGGGAATGGATTAAGGAGCGTTTCAAGCATTCATGTAAACATTTCAAAGGGATAGAAAATATAAAGTAGAAGTTTAGGAAGGTAAGCCTTAACAAAAAGTCATAAGTAACTTTATTTATATTAAAAAAGAAGTAGGTGTAAGTCATTTTTTATATATAATTTCAGTGAAGTTATTGAACAAATTGAGTTTGAATGTAATTAAAATGTCTTTTACGACAATTTGATATATTTTGATGCTCTAGAAACCTGTTCATCTGATTCAGAAAAAGCGTGGAATGCAACTTCACAAAATAATAATCGTGAAAACCGAAAACTTTGGCAACGTATTATTCATTATGAGAAGGTAATGCATCGTTATTCAGATGAACAAGAATTCAAAAGTCATTTCAGGTACATGATTTTCTATCACATATTTTGTTATTTTTCGTATCGCCATCTTCAAGCTTCAAATGTCATTTCAAAAATTGCCCCGAAATATTCTCAACATCCACTTTGATGCTTTGATCCACCTCTTCAGATGGGTCGTTGGAGCTTGCCGTGAGAAAGTAATGACGTTTTCGCCGCAACCACAACGACCGTGGTCGTCAAGTGGAATGGCTAAAGAAGAATTTTGATCATTGTGAGAGCTTAGTGGAACGCACAGTAATCAATTATTTACCATTCTGTGTTCGTTTCGTTTAGCATTAACTTGTGATTTTGTGATTCTGTAAAGAGTAAAGAAACAGTACAGTTAATGTGAATTTCAGGTACACGTGAAAAGAAAGGTATGTATCAGTTAAAGAATTACAAAATGATGCAATGTAACTTGAAGCTAATATACATTAAACCTAATCAGTCCATAAATGATTCTTTTTCACCGGATTGTTTCTATTAAGTTTTTTCAGAATATAACCTATACAACCAACATATTTCTACAAGATGCCGCTGTCTTGTCGATTTTATAAAGAGAAATATCCGGAAATAGAAGACGTCGTCATGGTTAATGTTAGAGAAATTGCTGAGATGGGGGCTTATGTCCGATTACTCGAATATAACAATATTGAGGGTATGATATTGCTCTCGGAATTGTCGAGGAGACGTATCAGATCTATAAACAAACTTATTCGAGTAGGAAAGACAGAACCAGTCGTAGTTATCAGGGTGGACAAAGAAAAAGGTTACATAGATTTATCTAAGAGACGTGTCAGTGCTGAGGACGTTGAAAAGTGTACCGAACGGTTTGCTAAAGCCAAAGCAGTTAATTCCATCCTCAGGCATGTTGCAGAGTTGCTTAATTATGAGAATGATGAACAGCTGGAAGAACTTTATCAAAAAACTGCTTGGTATTTTGAAGAAAAATATAAAAAGAATAAAGCTAGTGCTTATGATTTCTTCAAACAAGCTGTTTTGTAAGTAAAAGTATTTTTTGGTATATACATACATGTCGATGCCCAATAGGCTGTTTCAGCCTATTGGGCATCGTCAGTAACGGGCAGGAGGTCCTCGATTGAAGGCAAGATGAAAAAAAAAATTTCTAGTGAACTCATTTATTTTTTGCTTACCGAAAATAAATATGAAATCAAAATTTGCTTCTGGAAATATAAATTTCAAGCACTCATTTGTAATAAAAACTAATAAAATGGTACATTCTCTTTACAATTGTATGTCTTTACTCACCTTTTTCAAACATATTCACAAAATAGAAACCTCTATTTTGCAAAATTAAACCTTAGAGGATAATTCCAAGTCCTCTAAGAGTTATAATGTAGCTTCACTATAGTATTTATAGTTTCTTGTTGACATTATCCTTATGAGTAAAATTTGAGACATAACTTATGTTGTTAAATTTTTGAAATTTCATGTAACATGGCCCTACATTCCTGCAAATAAATACAATTTGTCATTTCAACTTTCTTTCAAATTATATAACTACATAATCTACAGATATGAAATTAATTGTAGAAGGCATATTCTAATTGACATGAAAGTTGGGGTTCTGTATTTATTCAATAGTCATATATATTTGACAATATCACATTTATTTCTGGTTTAATTTTGTTTCACTGCCAACACAACCACCAAAAGTTTCATTTAGTACTATTATGATGTAGTTTGCTGGAAATATGGAAGGATAATGGAAGTAGTAAGTGAATAAAGGTTTCTAGCATGCTATCGTATAAAGAAGTAGTCATTTTATGAGTTTTTGTTGCCAAAAGTGATCAGCGAACAAAAATGTGTAAATCCAATAATTTTTCTAAAAGTAAGATTAACCATTAGAACAAATATATATTTACAAATCTCTTTTTCTTAATATTTCATTGCTTTACACCCGAATCTATGACAATTCAACTTGGTTTTTGCAGGGATCCTTCCATATTAGCTGAATGTGAGCTAGACGACAAAACTAAAGAAGTTCTTTTAGGAAATATCAAAAGGAAACTCACCTCTCAGGCAGTTAAAATTAGGGCAGATATTGAATGTGCTTGTTATGGATATGAAGGAATTGATGCAGTCAAAGCTGCCTTGAAAGCTGGTCTAGAATTGTCAACAGAGGAACTACCCATAAAAATAAATTTGATTGCTCCACCTTTATATGGTACAAAAAGAAGCATTATCTAATAACATTCCAAAAGAATTTAACCCTATATCATTTTTGTGTATTAACGTTGAAATTATTCCTACTATAATAATAAAGATCATTTTTCCCATCATATGATAAAACCAGAAGAAACACAAAATACTAAACATGTTGAGAAAAGGTAAAGATTATGTTAGCTGTAGGCGGCCCATTTGATATCAACCTTCAGCTTTTAGGTTTCAATAGTCTATTTAAAATTCATTAATGAAGTTGCGATAGGTGTAGTAGAATACAAAATATTCACTTGAATAAAAACCAGCTCTGGATTGGAGAGCCTGAGGCTTCTTGTAACTAAATTTTCTCAATTCGTAATCGAAGTGGCGGGTGTTAAGTAAAATACAAAATTATTCACTTGGTTTCTTATAAGTAATTTTTTCAAATCTTTTAGCAATATGATAATAATAATGATCTTTTTTAATCCCAAGAAACAAGAACCACTAGCATTTCATGCTAGAGGTTCCAAATCCTACTTATCAGCTTCATTGTAATATTTTCACTTAACAGTTTACCGAAACATAAAACTTGTAATATACAATAGCTTATTTTTACATATTTATTGCATCACAAAATATATGCAAAATCAAGTGTCACACTGGAAATGTCTTCTTGTAACAAATACACTTACTGTCACTATAATAATGATAATTGTATGAGTATTCAAAGGACTATCAATATTAACTCAGTTTTCAGGTATTACACACTTATTTCCAACCTGACAGTACCTAATGTTAGAGAAGTTGTACTGAAACCTCTGACGTAAAATAAATCCAAAACAAGGACATTTCCCATCACCATAACCAGAATTCGTTTCTCAATATGTGTTTCGCCAACCAAGTTGGCGAAACACATATTGAGAAGCCGAGTTAGTTGGTGAAACGCACGTCGAGAAGAGTATTCCAGTTCTTGTGAATTGAGAAAAGTGCTTGTTTTGGAAGGAGAATTCAATTACGTGACTCTGTTCTTCATCAAAAAATAATAACTTATTTTTCAGTTATGACAACTTCAACACCTGAGAAGCAAGATGGTTTGAAGATCTTGAATGATGCCATTGAAAAGGTTAAACTAACCATAACAGAACTTGGAGGTGAATTCAATATCCAAATGGCTGTAAGTTCAAAAAATTTATATAAATTTTTCTTAGTATTGAAATGGAATGTGAGACCAGAAATGTAAGAGGATAGTATAGCACTTACTTACATTTTATGAAATATATTCAACTTCACTGAAGCTGACGAATTTGAAAAATATGTTATCAACATTCAAAGCATTTGTGATCCAACACTGGACAGTGTTATTTTGTCCCACCAAAGTCTCCTCAGTGGTTCTGAGTAGTAAACGGTTATAACATATCCCGTCACGAAGGCGCCATCTATGTGAAAGACAGACATTGTTATAGGCGTTTCACTATATAGTACTCCACACTACTTTACAATGTAAGCATTATACTCCACACTGCTTACATTATGAGGTAGCGTAATGGAAATAAAATCTGTATCGTGAAAAAACTTATTCACTATGTGAAAATCTCACAATAAAATCTTTTTTTAATACATTAGTTATGGATTTTCATCAAGTATCAGCCAATTTCATCATATATCTATATTGTGAAAACTTGTAATTGCTATAATGAATATTATTATTTATTTTCATCAAGTAATGTATCGGTGTATTCAAAAAAAAAGTTTCATTGTTCAAAATATATATGTTGTAGACGACAAGTCAAAAGAAATAGAGTTTAGAGATGAAAATACCTTACACTTACAGTATAAATATAAATACCTACATATACATATTTTCATGACAAAAAATATCACTGTAGTAATTGAAATTCAAAATTCGGTATTCCAGTACAGAATAAAAGATATTGTATAACATTTTTTTCACAGCATGTGAACATTCATGAAATTGTGTTAACTTTGTTAGGAATCCAAAACGAGCACTTTTTCCAAAAACCAGATCTGCAATACTCTTCCCGACGCGCGATTCAGCGTCTGTTTTCTTCATCTCCTGAAAAGGGCTCGTTCCAGTTTCACCTTTTATCTATATATACATATATTTCTCGTGGCTTTATTCTGTAATATGAATGCCATATTTCAATCTAGAATAACAGTATGTAGTAAGACAACAGAACAGACCAATTCGTGATATTTCTTAGCCTTTTCATAGAAAAACAGAAAGATTAAAGTTTTTACGAAGACACCTAAAAAGTTGATTAACTAAACTTATGCAATCGACCTATTACCTATTCTTAATAGATGACCCATCGGTTTTTCCTTTATGCTGAGAATAAAATTAATAAAAACCGTTTTTTATTTATTAACTATCAGCTTATTTTCATCAAACCATTGAACTTATTTTTAATTGAAACGGTAATTTAATTTGACAAATATTTTTCGAAAATTAATAAGAGGCATTTTCTGTCAACGAAATGATGTTACCAACATGCACTGAAAAAATTGTATAATTGATAAAAATTGAAGGACAGAGTCCTGAAGAATCTCACAGTTAATTTGAAGGGTAGTGGACTGGCATTAGTTGATTGCTGTCACTTTCTTTCTGGATATGAACTCAGCATGTCACCCATTCTGCCCCCGAAATCTTATTTATAAAGCTTATCTATTGTTTGTGATCAGTTTCTTTAAACCATAGTTCATTTCATATAACTTTAATCCATTAATTTTGTTTTCACAATTGTATCTACTTTTTGATTTATCGAAATAAAATGTATAGATAGTGGAATACAGAGCAAATTGATTAGGAAAAACCTGGAAAAGTCTAGGACTTTAATTCGCAGAAAATGCTGTTGAAACGTCAGATCTTTTTTGAAGGGATGTATATCTGAGAAAAAAATTAAATCCTGCTCCTTCATTCTGAAAGTTATTGAAAATCATAAAATAATTGATAGAACTGTAAGAAATAAGTCTTGTCTTTCTCTGCATATGTTTAGAATGTTTTATCATTTTAATTTGGTGCTCTTTTTGATCTGGAAATTGAATTGACCTTTCTGTGATAGCCTAAAGTAGTGACTGCAACGGATGAAGCAGAGCTCTTGAAGCAGATGGAAAAAGCAGAGCAAGAGAATGCGGAAGTCTCAGGTGATGACGATGATGAAAAGGAACAAGAAGGCCAAGTCTATAGTGAAGAAGATGAAAAAAACAATTCTGGAGAAGATTGAACTAGTTCACATACTTTTTTAATATAATTGAAAAACTGAATCTTTTTTCAAGATTTAGTACATATAACTGAAAATCATATAAGTTATCATCGGCAATATAAGTAATATATTGATTTTTACATTCAATTCTTGTTTCATTATTGTATTTTTTTTATTTTTTCATTTCCGAGTATGATTGATAAAATCAATATCAACTTTCATGCAAGACTTTAATCTTCAGCATATAATAGAAAATATTAATCCATCATAACATTTTATTTATTGGAATGAAATTGTCGGTATTTAATAGAAAGATATTCAATTTTTTTAATGGGTACAAATATTTTATTTGTTTCAATTTTATTGAGAACTTTGTCAAAAATTAGGGTGTATATATGTATTTTTATGGCATCAAATGATACATGTACTGAAGAAATAAAATCAAATATGTAATATATGTAATCAAATATACATTGTATGTGTTTGCAAATCTCAAAATTCTATAATACCTAGAGACCTAGACTCATTCTGGCCATTGTTAGTATGTTGAAGATTTCTGTATTTCTTTTTCTCTTTGGATTCACATTTAAAGTTCATCAATTTCCGAGGAATTATTGCTATAATAACATTGTTTATTTTGTGAATTAGTGAAAGATCTCATTGTAATCTTCTATGAGCCAGAATATTCAAGTTGAGAATATCCAATATGATTTTATAGTTGTATTCATCAATATGATGTTCCAGTATGTATACAGAGTACCTTAAAAACTTATTTTGAACACATTCTAGCATATCAATATCCACATTACATGAGGGGCATCTGTATCTGTAGAGTAGGGAGGGTGAGTGTAAGCCCACGCACTTAGGCCACATATGACCCATCCTCCCGAGGAGTTGTCCTCCTAGGTCGTCGTCCATCCTGTCCTTTCCAGGAAGGTGGACAGGTCGCTGGGAGACATCTCCTTTATATTGGCAGGTGTAGACCAAGACTCGCCGAACACACACTCTCTTATTGACGATAACTCCGGGCACTCGCACAGGACATGCCTGACAGTTTTTTGGGGGATTTTAGTTCCCCTCACCCTACTTATTTCTGCCACTGACCAGGAGTCCGTCAACCCCGTCCGTTAGGCCACATTGGCTTCCCGGATAAGACCTCCAGTCCCCTGGCCGTTCCCCTATCCGCCACCTGGGGACGCGCCCGATAGGTAGCCCAACCCACGGGTGAGGGGCATTGAATTGTGGTATTGTATTCAATTAATGATCTTACAATTACACAATATATGATTTTTAAGGAAGAGAGATATAATTCCTTTGCAGATCTAACAGTGATGTTTCAACATTTTCATTGTTCTAGAAATAACATTTGCAATATGGGGTTTGAATGACATTTTTGGGTCAAGAGTGATTCTTGAATCTTTGATTGTATTTGTTGTTTCCAGTTCTGATTGCTTGATATTTTATGGACGATTTATGGGATTTTTGTTTTGAAAAATAAGTAAAATAATGATATTTGCCTAAATCCAATAACAATAAGTTTATATCACATCAGCATAGAAAATAAAGTAAATCGTACTATAATAATTCAGTATCAGATGAGTCATGAATAACTTAAAATCTTCAGATCATTAGCAAACAGAAGACATTCACTATAGAGAATAATATCAGTCACAAATAGGTTGAAAAGTAATGGTCCCAAATGAGATCCCTGCGGTACACCAGATGAAAGTGCGATTGAGGAAGATACTGAGTTACTTTATTTCACATATTGGACTGTGTAGGTAAGATCATTTTCAATCCATTTCAGAATGTTTTCCTGAATACTTCAACAGATTTTTTTTAAACAGATTTAGTTTATGCAAGAACAAATTCTAATTTACTCGGTCGAATGTCTTAAAAATCTGTGTAAATAGACTCAACCTGGTGTCTATTTTCGAAGGCATTCATTATATAGTGTTAAGGAATGAGCAGATGTGTCCTAGTAGATCTACAACGACCAAATCAATGTTGCTGATTTATGATTATATGTTTACAATTCTATGATAACTTTTTTCTTATGAAACTATCTAACAATTTGGGTAATTCTGATTGATTGGAAACTGCTCGATGAATTTGAATGTCACTATGCAATCCACTTTCAAAAAACTGTTTTTTAAATAATCTGGAATGATGGATTATTTTAAAAAAGTTAAATATCATGTGAATGGGTTTGGCCAGGGTAATAGGGAGATTCCATCAGACCAGGATAATGACTTGACCAGTTCAACGCTATAACTACATATATCAACTGTCCTATTGAATTTATATCTAGGGATTTTGGCAACTGTTTCATCACTATACATAGATGAGAAATAGTGTGTAAAAAGATTCAAAATGTAATTGCTATTTTTATTTTTGATGACAGAGTCATTGTCATCATAATACATTTTGGATAGTAGGGAGTGTGATTTTTCTTATTATTAATATAATTCCAGTAACTTCTCGGATTATTGTTGATGTTATTCTCAATTTTATTTATATGTGCTTGGCGGCAAGTGTTTCTCAGAGCTTTGCATTTATCTCTCAGATAACAGAGAATACAAAAAATGTCAATTTTTTGGAAAAATTGAGGTTTTATTTTATTTAGTGAAACTTAATAGTCCAAAGCTGTATAAAGAACATTATAAAAAAATGTAACTGCTCTCCATGCCCATATAATATCCATTTATGAAGTCATGTTTAAATTATGTTTTCATTTCATACATTTCATAACTCTAGTTAAAACAACCATGGTGTCTGACCTAGTTCTATGAAGAAAGATCAACTATTCTTGAATTCAAAAGAATACCAAAAATATCATCTGGCAACACTTCACTTTCTGGATCGTCCAAAATCAGTAAGGCGGTGGTAGACTGAAAAGATTTACGCAACACCACGTCGAGTATTCAGTTGAGCGGCTTTTTTTTTATCTGTTTGATAAAACGTTCCTGACAGAAAACCGAAACATGCCTCTAAAAATGTATAGTTTGCCGACAAGACGGGACTATAACAAATATAGACAGCTGTCATCGCTATTGTAACTGGTTAGTTTGTTAAGTTAGGTAATATCGTTGAAGTAATGAACATAGTGGTCTTTAACGGCATTAAATAATTAACACAATCATGGGGATTCGCATTGGTATTGTAAGTTTGTCGATCTGTCGGTCATATAAGAAAGTATATTTTACCGTGGTCGGCAGAGTATACACTTCCGGAATAAAATATAAATAAAAATGTTTGACGTTTCATATCTATTAAGAAGAAGAATGTCAGTGAAGAAGTAACTAACAGCTCTCTGATAAATATTTTTACATACAAACGTCAAAATGAGAAATAAATTCAGAGTTGTTATTTGGAAAAATTTTATAATCAGAAGAAGGCATTGGTTTCTCACTATATTGGAGTCGTTACTTCCAATCGCTTTGTTCTTCCTGATAGCATATGGGAGAAGCAAAATTGATGGACTGAGTAAAAAGGAAGTTACCTATCCCAGTCGCAGTGAAGTAATGTCAATTTCCAAAGACATCGATGTTGGATCGACATACATTCTTTATACTCCAGAGAACAATTTCACCACCAGTGTGATGAAAATATTTTGGAACAATTTTCAAATACCTAGTGATAAAGTGTTTGGGTTTGGGACTGAAGTAAACATGGTGGAACATTATCACAAACTTTATAATTATACGATCATTGCTATAGTTTTCTCTGGAAACGACCCGAAAAATGTGAAATACACCATTAGATACCATGAAAACCGGCCCTACTACGAAAACGAAATATCCACTAACCTAAGATACTTACCGCCCTTTTCACCATTCGTACCTGGACAAGGAAGCAACTACTATTGGAAGGGCTTAATTTCTGTACAAAATATGTTAGACTTATCATTCATTCAGTACTCTCTCAATATGGAAAGTGATGTTACTATAGAAGTGCAGGAGTTTCCTTATCCTCCATACATATTGGATTCAGGCATCACCAATTTATTTTTGGAATATTTGCCTGTGATGACCATATTCAGTTTCATATTCCTCTGCCCTGCTGTGTTGAAAAGAGTTGTTGAAGAGAAGCATTCGGGAATCAAGGAGCTCTTGAAAATGGTTGGCATGGAATCATGGATGCTTTGGCTAGGATGGATGGTCTACGGAATGGTCCCTATTTTCTTTTCGGTATCTATTATAGTTTTTTTAATGAAAGTACCTATTTTTGGCTCAGAATACCCGCCAATTGAGCATAGTAACTTTTTGCTGTTATTCTTTTTTTTGTTATTTTACTGTATGACATCTATAACACTCTGCTTTGCTATAAGTTCTTTTTTCAGTAAGCCTACAACTGCCATGGTTACTGGCATCCTAATTTGGATTTTATCCTACTGTGTACCTAAATACTCTTTAGGCCTTCACGAATCAAACCAGCTTTCTTGGTTTGTAAACATTTTATTGAATTTATTACCTAACATGGCATTACATTACGGTTATTCTGCAATATCCGTTTATGAAGAGAGAGGTTTGGGAATTCAGTGGAATAATTTTTATCAGTCAAGTAGTGGGGGTGTTAATGATGTGACCATGCTCAATGTTTTTGTAATGCTGTGGTTTGACATGCTCTTATTCGTGTTGTTTACGTTTTACATGGATGGTGTTAACCCAGGAAAATATGGTGTTCGCAAGTCACTGTTATTTCCTATTTACCATTTGGTAAAAAAATTTAGTAAAATAAATAATGTTGTGGTAAATTGTGAAACCCTTCCTTTAGAAAATATTGAGGAAGGACGTGGTATGGACAAAGGAATAGAAATTCATAAGTTATATAAGAGGTATGGTTCCAAAATGGCAGTAAGTAATCTAAATTTAGATATCTACAAAAACCAAATAACTGTCTTGCTTGGCCATAATGGTGCAGGAAAATCCACCACAATGTCCATGATAACTGGCATGCTAGAAGTGACTTCAGGATCTATAATAATAAACGGCTCTGATATAAAAAATAATATGGACAAAATAAGACAAAACCTTGGACTTTGTCCTCAGCATAATCTTTTTTTTACGGATTTAACAGTCAGAGAACATCTGCTATTTTTTGCCAAACTTAAAGGCCGAACATCTCAGGATGCTGCATTGGAAACAGATAAACTTCTGAAAGACATGAACCTTTACGAGAAAAGAGATTCATTAGCTCACACTCTTTCTGGTGGTATGAAAAGGAAATTGTGTCTAGGGATGTCCCTGGTAGGTGGATCAAATGTCCTGATTCTAGATGAACCGTCTTCTGGGATGGATCCAGAATCTCGTCGACAACTATGGGACTTGCTGCTGTCCTGGCGGGGAGAAAAGACTATTCTTGTAACAACACATTTCATGGAAGAAGCTGATGCCTTAGGAGATTGGATAGCGATAATGGCTGATGGAGCCCTTCAGTGCTATGGAACGCCAATGTTCTTGAAGAAAAGATATGACACTGGTTATCACTTATCACTGATATTGAATGATGACAAAACCACAGATGAGGCAGCCCTTAGGAAAAATAAAATATCCCTTATTAGGAAAGAAGTTGACAGACATATCCACGGAAATCAACTGAAATCTCAGGATGGGAATCATATTGTTTTTGTGTTGCCCTTTGAAAGTAATACAGAATTGGCAAATTTGCTGGAAGAGCTGGAAAAGAAGAAAAACGAATTAGGAATTGCGAACATTTCTGTCACCGTAACTACTCTTGAAGACGTATTTTTGAAAGCCAGAGTTGAAAGTAGTGGTGAGGATGATCAAATCGAGAGATCGCCATTGTGCCCAACTGTCAAACTCACCTCATCTCGAACCAAAATGACAATCAGCACTTTGTTAATGAAAAAATACCTATTTATGAAAACAAAACGATGGGCCTACATAATACCTCTGTTGATAGCATTGCTCTTCTTCTCGCTGACTGTTTACCTTACAAGCCAAGGAAAGAGTAACTTCAATGACGAGGGACCATCGCTTGCATTCCGCCTAAACCTGTATGGAGAATCTTCTGTTTTTTATAATGGCTCACCAACTAATTCCCGCATGGAGCTTCTAAAATCGTTTTACAGACAAGCAGTCGAAGCTGGTGGTAGTGAAGCTTTCAATGTTGTGGACGTGGAGGAATCAATAATTGAAAAAGGAGAGGATAACATTGCCTACTACAAGGAACACATGATTGCTGCTGCGAATTTTTTTGTTACAAATGGGAGCATTAGAGCTGTAGCTATGTACAACGCTGTTGCTCTTCACAGTTTACCAATTTCTCTCAATTTAATCACGAATGCAATTGTAAAGACGTTACTAGGTAGTGAATACTCTATTTCAACCAGTTACTGGCCTCTGGAAAGTATTGACACCTCCGCATCCCCAGTAGAATACTCTGAGACCATGTTTGCAGTACTGTGGTTGATTATGATACCCATAGGCTGTTTATTCATCCTCGGCAGCTTCATCATATTCCCACACACAGAGATTTCTACAAGGTTCATTCAGCTGCAGTATATGTGCGGAGTAAAGCCTGTTGTTTATTGGATTATCAACTTTTTATCCGATCTAGTTGTATATTTCATTATGATATTTCCACTGACTTTGATTGTTTGCCTTGCTTCCCCTCCTTTCAGACAAATCTATGAATTTGGTATGCTGTTGGCAATTTTAATTGTGTATGGTATGTGTGGTATACCATTCACTTACTTATTTACCCGTAAGAGCTCTGCTTCAGGAGCCTTTGCTCTTCTTGTTATTATGGGCATATTTTTGGGTGTAATAATGGCCCTTGTTATTGGGGTTTTGATGGAATCAGGCAGTAATTACTACAAGGGCATAGGATTGAACATCAAATATATCTGTATGTTATTTATACCCCAAGTAGCTTTGACTGGTTCTATTCTCGATTTCTCCCGAAGAGTTGTTAACGTCTACAATTTCCAAGTTGTGCCTAAGAAGCTTGATAGCAGGTGCTCTTATAGTGGTTATGAATGTTGCATAGAAACTTCCGAGGAATGCCTAAATTTCAAAAATTATGGGCTTATGTTGAGAGAAAATTTTTATCTGATGTTTAGCAGTTGTGTCATCTATCTTTTCCTAAATATTCTGTTGGACAATTATACGTTTAGAAGAGCACTTTCCTGGGTCAAGTATACACTTTCCAGCTGTTATTATAAAATCTTTCTCAAAAGAGATGAAAATACTGACAATATCAGACCAGGAGAGAGAGATGATAGCAATGGCACTCTAAAGGCCAATAAACTTTTTAAAACTTACTCTGGGAAGCAAATTGTTAAAAATATCGATTTCACGCTCCAAGATAGGGAATGTCTTGGTATTTTGGGTGTGAACGGAGCAGGAAAAACAACAACTTTCCGTATGTTAACTCGCGAGGAGATAGTAGATAATGGTCAGATACATTTGTTGAAAGACGAAAAGAAAATAAATATCAATCAAGATGAGTACATGGAACAACTCGGGTATTGTCCCCAAGCAGACACATTAAACTTCATTCTGACTGGCAGAGAGATACTCACTGTTATAGCCCAACTTCGTGGCATTGAGAACTACAAAAGAGAAGTTGATTATTTTTTGGAATATTTCGATCTGGAGAAGTACGCTGACCAGCCTTGTGGTCACTACAGCGGAGGTAACAAACGAAAACTAAGTCTAGCAGTGTCCATAATAGGCTTTCGAAAGGTTGTATTACTTGATGAACCCACCAATGGAGTCGACCCATCTTCTCGTAGGAAATGTTGGAAATTGATCAAAGGTGTGCAGGAAGAAAAGAATTTGTCCTTCATTTTAACATCTCATAGTATGATGGAATGTGAAGCGCTATGTAATAAATTGAAGATTATGAAGGAAGGAGAGTTTGTTGAACAAGGTTCCCTGAGCGAGCTCAAAAAAAGGTTTGGAGGATTTACTTTGAAGCTCAAACTGTTCAAAAGTGGAGAAAATGAACTGGACGAGCTTGATGCTGCAGAATTCTCACGTGAAGATCCGTTAACATTCCATACAGTTGAAGAAATCAAGGATTATTTCACGAAAAACTCAAGAGGTGAACTCAAAGATGAACATGCTGGTTTGTTACATTTTTACATAAAAGGAGACGAGAAAAATCAAAAATGGAGCACCATTTTCAGGGAGGTGGAGAATATAAAATCAAAAAATCCACACCTGATCGAAGATTACAATATTAGCGAGGCATCTCTTGAAGATGTGTTTTTGAAAGTCGCTAGATCTGAAGGTGAAGAAAACACCAATGGTAAATAATAATAATATACAGGATGAACCTGTCTATATAGTCTATCAGTCGCAGAGGGTTGCAACTCATCAGTTTTTATAAAACAGATATTCTACCAATAGTAAAAATAAGTCTGGAATCAGGAGCAACAATAATTAGGTGCAACAAAAGTTTGAATTTTTTGAATTGCTGATGATTATTGATGACTTTTTCAATAAAGACGTCAGTGAATAAATGTCCAAATGTCGGCAATTGAACAAATGTAAACATTTTATTTTGATGTCCTTCGCCCCTGGAGCCAGATTAATTATTTTAGACCATTAATAATGAGTGATGCTAAAATATCATTATTATTGCTTGTACTTCATTTCAAAAATATTTCATTTGGGAAAATAGGAAATACACAGTGACTTAATTAAATCGGTTTTTCCCATTATAAAAAGAGAGAAAATTCAAATCCATATTACACATTAAGACACTGCACATTTTTTCATATCTGAATCTTCCATCTTTGAATTTTTCATCTCAGTGAAGTCCCTTTATGAGAAAAAAATTAAAATGTTTGAAACAGAGTAAAAATAATAATAAAGTAAAAATAAAAAAAACCCAATCTTATTATGAACATTGTTAGGCTGTGAAAATCAAATATTACTTGTTATTTATGTTTCATGTAGATATGCAAGATTTAGAAATTAAGTTGGGGTGAGATGGTACATGTAAAATTATATAATAATTCATCTGAAAAATCGTAAAAGAATAATAAAAAATGATGAAAAATATGATTTGAAAATATCTTTAATTTATCATTTTATATGCTTGGATTTTATTTGTATTTCAGTTTATATTTAACCACAATATCCTATATAAATTTCAAAGAAAAGGTGAGTTGTTAACTAAATGTACAAGGTTGTTGTTTGTTGTGATTTTTTCAATATTTGGGAATGACACTAATGGTTTGAGAACAGATACAATAATTATAATATTATTAACTGATTATTTTACAAGGTTTTCAATTTATTTTGATAGAAATGAATCATTTTACATTGTTTCTTGAAAAAAAAAATTGTGTATGGCACTACCGAAATTGACAATATTGTGTTTCAAAGAAAATCTTTGAAAAAGTTTCATTACAATCCAAGGTCAACACCATTAGTTCATGAAATGCTATTTTCCTATATTAGTGATCAAAATCGAACGTAATGTCGATGATGAATTGAACTGTCTCATTGACAAGTTGATTTATGGTAATATAAAAAATAGCAAGAAATTAAAAAAATTGAAATCTTATGCAGTAAGTTGACTGTCAAAATATAATGGACAAATGCTATGCTGGTTTTAATTATAAAAAATGCCTTCCAAAATTATGCTTTTTACCCGTTTCTACTTTTTGTTATTAGAACTAAAAAGACGCTCACTTTTTTCTTCAGTACATGATCATTCAAGCAGTTTAAGGTTAAAGGAGATGATAATCGGGGTTACAATTGAGTCACATTGGTGAGATCCCATGATAATAATATTTATTCAGTTGGATCATCTATAGATGATATTGAGTATCTCAAAACGTGTACAAATAGAAAATTAAAAATACAAACTCCGTGCACTTAGAGGCACAATATCCAATTTACATTGGTAATATAATATATAATAGTCAAAACCTAAAATAATCTGCTATTTATGCAACAGCATCGTTATTAAAATCGGTATAAAATGTTGAACATGTACAAAGTATATAAAAGTCAAAACCAAAAATAATCTGTTATGTAACAGCATCGTTATTAAAATCTTGCTAAAATGTTACACATGTACAGGGTCGTAAGTTATCATGCATATATTCTTTGAGAGAATAATAGGATTTATCCAGGAGCAACTCTTTGATTTTTTAATAGTTACACTGTTTTAGAGCCAAATTTTTTATTGTACTTGGAAGTTTATTGTACATGAATCTGTAAATAACCAGATGAAATTAGAAATATGTATTGTGAGATCTGCAAAAAATTTACTTCACAAAAAACATTTTTTTTTGGTGGCAGAGTCATGTTTCAAATCTGCAATATGGGTCTCCAATTTGAAATGCATAAAAAAGATAAACTTGGTATATGTGATTGAAGCGGTAATTCATTTGAATGTATTTACTAAATACTTTTTGGTAAAGAAGTCTTATTATTGAAAAAATACTTGACATACAAAAAAAGCTTCATCCTCAAACACCAGAGTCTACAAAATATTTTGTAAACAATGTTGGATTATGGCTCCTAGATCTATTTAAATCATAAGTAGTTTTATTTTCACATAGAAACGAAGATCAAAATGTTTAGTTAGTTCTAGAAAATATAAATAAATACTGAAAACATTGAGTATGACGTCATTCATACAGGAAATTGCATTTTTGAAACGTAACTATTGTTGCCGATTCCTGTTTATGTGATTTGCCAGTTTTTCTGATCTTTCAAATATAAAACCCCTAATATTTGAATATTCATTAATGAGTTAGTGGAGAGAGAATAGCATTTCAAACTTTTGTATTTTTGTAAATATTTAAAATGTAAAAATATTGAGGTTATTACTTGGTTCTGTATTATATTTTTATTATACATAGCACCCTCTGCATACAAATTAATGTGTATTATTGTTCACGAATATGAATAAAATTTGTTTGAAAGTGGGTTACATTGTTTCTTGGTGAATTTTAATAGTTTGGACTTCCATTGCCAAATATGATTCTGATATAATTCGAAATCTATGAGAGAACAAATAAAATTTGAATGAACAGCTGAAATATCAATTATATTCAGCAATAAAACGTGAAATGAAAATACAACAAAACAAATAAAATAATCAAGATAAAAGATGAAATTGACCACAGAGTAAAAAAAAAGTAATTAACCAAGAAATTAAAAAATTGAAAAAAAAATGAAAAAAGATTTCAAATCAATTTACTTCACGACGTTTCGAATGCTAGTATCATTTTTATCTTTTATCTTGATTATTTTATTCGTTTTATTGTGTTTTCATTTCACGTTTTATTGCTTAATATAAATGATATTGTAGCTATACATTTTAACTTTATTTGTTCTTTCATAGATTTCGAATCATTGACTCATATTAGAGATTGGAATTCCGAACTAGTAAAATTCAGCATGAATTTGATTGAATGCACCAATATATTGTGATATATATATATGTAAAATATATAGTATACTAAAATTATTCTTAACCAAAGTGCTGTGCAACAGAGTCTAACTGTAAACATTTTTTTTGTCCTGTTATTTTTATCACAACTTGTTGATAACCAATATGTTATTGTCAATTTTTACAAGCTTCATAACAGTTGTACTTCCTTTCCAGTTTTCATAATTTGTTATATATATTTCGTAATCCCATACTGTTATTTTGATTTAACAGTATTCAGATGACAATTGAAAAGTTAATCTTAACAGTCTCCGTCTGTTAAGATTTTCAACGGCCGGTGAGAAATCACTTTTCATTACGCTCTCGAGTTAATTTCGGCAGTCTCGCTGCACATGATTCTCCCATATTTCTAATGAAATTTGATTTTGTTCCTCAACTTCTTCAATTTCATTCATGGTCGTTGTTACAGCGAACTCGCGAACACAAAAAACTCACGTTGTTTATAATATTGTTGTGATATTGTTAAGCTGTTCCATGACAACACGATGTTGGGACTTTTCTATAGAATTACGAGGTACGTGGTTTGTTTTTTCCTTGGAATCAAAATGTAATTTTTCAGCGGGATTACGAAAAGTCTTGTAACACACGGCCGATATGCAAGTAAGGGATTCGGTTGTTATAATATTCAACCTCATCTTTTATTTGCTACATATAGACCTTGTAATGTTGATAACTATATTAATTTGTCAATCTGAAATAACTTATGTCATTTCAAAAAAACTTTAGCACGTGGTATATATATTTTGTATACTTAAATTTTAAATATTATTAAGTTCAGTTATATATTTTGATAAGATAATATTTATATGAAAATAAATACATATTTGAAATATATTTATGATTATATATATTTATTAGATGTCAGGGCCTGTTTAATTAGTTTTTTTTGAGATAATATACCTACCATCTTTCTTTTTCTGGGCTTGGTGTATTCAAACAGGATCATCGGATCAGGAATGCATTATTATTCATAATATCAGTTCTGTTGACGAAGCTAACCTGAAAGTAACTCAATTCTAAAAAATTGATCTATTAAATAGTAACATTGAAAAAATGAAGTTAATGTTAATAAAATAGGCATACATTAGAAAATTCCTACGAAACGTACTAGTTGAAGTTCTTTTAGGAAATGACGATAAATTATCATGAAATGCTTTTATAGTATTATTTTTTCGGTGTCAAGGTCATCGACTTCTATGGTCATAAGCCTCGTGTTCTGAATAGCTTATATTATATTAATAAAATCCCGAGCCACCTAGGAAGTTTCATCGCTGTTCACGGGCCAATCAGCTATGTAACGTAACAGAACGAACTCAACCTCTTCGATAGTGTAAGCTGTTCATTACCACTGTAGAATAATCTCTTATTAGATGATCACGGGAACATATAAAGTTTTAATGTAAGTTGAGTCTCATGATTTGATATACCCATACAATGTCATGCCTTTGATTTTCGAGCCTAACACAAACTGTTTAAAAAAATTACAAAAGCTTAAGGTAAAATATCATGCGGGTGTGAAGTTATACACATTAAGAAACAAATATTGTTATAAATTATCTCCTGAAAAAAAAAATAACGCTAGCTGCCGCACCGTAACTAGTCGAAGTGAACATACTCCACTATCAGAACAAATGTAAGAAAAACAGGTTTAACATTTATCATTTAGAATAGTGTTCTGACTCTGGGGTGAAAAAAAAATTGGTCTCAAATGTAGTTCTTTCCTAAAATTGTCGAAGTTCAATTTTTATATTATCTCAATCGATTTACTTCATATTCACATGTTTACTCAAACCTATTGCCAATTTCAGCTTACGCTATTACATTTGCGCATGGTCTTTTAGATCTCCAAAAAGCATGCGTCGCCGGCGCTCTGCGTCTTCTTCTGGTGACATCAGTACCACACCGTCAGCGGTCATGGAGATCTTTCTAGATCTACCTCCTCTCCACATTTTTCTGGAGAGGCTAGATGGACTGCATATAGACTTGTGCACATTTCCAATTGCACAAATCAATTTAATGCAGAGTGCAACAGACTGTTGGTTGACACTGGAAGTCACAGCATTCTGGAAATGGCCTCTGACTTCATGCCTCCAACTGTCAACTACGAACTGCATTAAATAGTACTGTTCCTGAGTAGAGAGGACTGGATCCTCCGGGAGAAGGAAATATTAAGAGCAGATAGTTGTTGGTTCACAGATGGATCAAAAACACCTTCCGGTTCTGGTGCAGGTGTTTTCAGTCGCAGACCCAGGACAGAGATATCAACCTGCCCAGGAACCTATGCGACTGTATTTCAAGCGGAAATTTATGCTATTGAATTGTGTGCGGAGAGATTGGAAGAATCCAACCTCATACACAAGTCAATAAAAATATTCTCGGACAATCAAGCTGCGTTGGGAGCTCTTGGCTCCTAGCAACGCCTAAATTGGTAGCAAATTGCCAAAATCGACTCTCCCCGATAGGAAGACTTAACAGATTAACTCTGGTCTGGATGCCTGGCCATACTGGCCTGGAAGGCAATGAGACTGACGGCCTCCTTTGCAAAGGAGTGTGCTGCAAGCAGCTTCATCGGACCAGAACTTGTCAATGGCATCGCTTTAGACTTTGCCAAACAAAGATTGAACTGGATTGGCTCGCTCCAAGGCGTTTATTCACCCTTCGAAGCTTGATACCAAACAGTTGTTGGACTACGATGTCTGGCAGGCCTTCTTACATCACTGTCGTTTGAATCATCATATGCAGAGATTCGGACTGTCGGAAGACAGTGTGTGTCACCTCTGGAAAATGATGAAACAGCAGAGCACATATTTTGTGCCTGCCCCGCTGGGGACCGAATCAGGTTTTTATAGTTCAGCAGAACCGTGCTCTTGCCATCTGACCTGAAAGACCAGTAATCATACAAACTAATTGGCTTCGTTAAGAAGCTGGGTTTATTTGGTGGGGTGTGAATGGGTGTGAGCCACAACAAACCCTTACGTGTTGCTGTCACTCACTTTGGACCTAACCTAACCTTCTAAGATTATGCGCCCGTGTTCGCCTCATACCCTACACCATAGATGAAGCCGGCATTGAGGGTAATGAAAAATTAAGTTAATTTTCTCCCCTTTCGAAGGCGCCCTATTGGATCGACAGAAAATTCAAACTATAAATATATACTTTTACCTCTTCTGAACAGAAATTATATCTCTCGACGCGCGTTTTGCTAACCAAGTTAGCATTATCAGGAGCTGATGATAACAGTTTTGGTCATCTCCGAATGATTTCAACTTGGTTAGCGAATCGCGCGTCGAGAGACAGCATTCTTGTTCTGGTGAGGGAAAAGTGTTTTCAATAGATTCATTTTACCCCAGAATATCCAAAATCGACTTATCGAGTGTGAATATTTGAATATCAATGATAAATATGTGTTGACCCGGCGATGAAAATTTCAACCTCTTGTTGCAATTTTCAGCTAGTTTTTTTTTTCATTCAAATCTAGTATAGGGATAATTCAAATTTATGTTTTCATGATAGGTATCTAATCTAATATTTCCTCGCTTTGTATTAAAGTGATCATTAAAGTTAGGATAATTTATCTGTATGATTATCGGTCAATTTGAAACAACAATAGGCCCCTTTAATTCTGATACTGAATTACACTGCAATCATAAAATTCAAACAAAGGTTAAAATATTTGTCATCATTGGGGTTTGTCTTACAGGATGCAAAACAAATATTTTCAATCCGTGATTCATTTGCTGATTTCCAATAGAGTACAACAAATTCATTATTTTAAACTGTAATTGCATATTTATTTAACAAATATTTATTATACTTCTCATAACCATTTCTGTAGATGTCTATTCTGGTTTTGTTTTGTTACATTGACCGGTTATAGGATAGACTGACTTTATACGTAGGTGATGTATAGAGTGTCATCCAGCAATTTTATGAAATTTATTCAAGGCCACAGTAACTTTCTCGTTAAATTAAATTTACCGACACTTGAAAAATTGCCAATAAAATTGAATACAAAATTGAAAAGGAATGAATTGTCTTCAGATTCCAATAAGTGTATGAATCATAGAAGTGCATTGCTACTTTATCTCTCTAGATAGGCAACAAATATTTACTATGTGAAACAACCGTTTTGCATTATCAGAAAAGTATTTATAGAACTAATCAGCGAAGGGTAAGTATGTGGAAATGAGGGGAAGGGCTTGTTTGTTGGAAATAACTTTAAGAAACGGTAGATTAGGTACTATACGTTGTGAAACCAGCAAACCTACTGTTCAATATTTAGTGTTTACAACATTAGATATATTTTTCGGTTCTGAAGTACAGCCCAAATGTTGACTCGGCTCTCCTTTGGGGAACTGAATTAAGATGTATAAACTTTGTTTCGGTTGCAAAAAGGTTAAAAACTTTATTACAGAGATGAATTGACCCTCTTGGATTTTTTGTTCATAGGGCCGAAAGTTTTTTGGGCGATCTAAGAGAATTTTTTTCACTGTTTGGTAATGTTTGCGAAGAATACAGAAAAGTGCACATTTCTCACAGTAACATCCGAATTTGCGAAATGTGATACTTCCTGGACGTGTCTCAAACGTTCATTATTTCCAGGTCGTCTCCACAGTCTTACTCGACGAGAATCTGGATGAAATCCAAATCTGAACAGGTCAATTTTAGTTGCCCTTGAACACACAAATGAATTTAAAGATATATTGAAGACAACTGCGAAATGTCACGGGGAAAGTATATAGTGAAGTTGGTGGAATTACAAGTGGAAACAAATAAGGAAATAGATGGTAAGTATCTATAATTGTGTTATTCCTCTTCACCAAGGATATTATTAATCCATTACAGTCTAGAGAATTATCACCATTTCATCGTCGACTAAAAGACTTAACCTTTCTACTCTTTTACAAGAGAACGCGAGCAATAATATGAAATGTGTCTAAATAAGGATTTCTAACATTCAAGAAAAAGTTTAATTATGACTACAGTAACTATCAATTAAATCATATACACTCGATAACACCTCCTTCTATATATTTATATCCTGGACTCGGAAGTCACGCAGGTCTGTAGCTGCCTCCGTAGTGATGTTATGATATCCTAGAAATTCTAGGTCTCCTAATTGAAATCACGAATGTGCGGTAGGCTCCTGTTGGTGACTCCGTTCGTTTGTGCTGTTTTTTCGTTTTTGACAACCAAGTGTTGCCCATCTCTGCACTTGGCTACACCGCGCTGATGAGGCCATGAAAAAAAGTTTGTTATTTGTGAATCGGCGATTTAGATTGCCAATTTATATTGTTTAATACTAGAATAAAGATTTTGACTCTCAAAATACACATTCATACGATAAGAGAATATGACGAAAATTGCATTGTTCAGTAATCTCTTTATAATAACTTGGAATCTTATACAAAAAAATATGATAAGATATTAATTTGCCGTTATATTTGTTTTCTCAATAAGTTCGGTATAATTTTAATAAATAATTGCACCTCATATTATTTTTATATGAATCTCAATTTTAAAAAATTCATCTTTGGTTGACGCAGAGATATTGTGCTATGGGTTTATTCGGTGAACCATCAATATGAATAAACCTCTGAAGAAGCCAGCCACTCGTGCTGACGAAACGTTAGTATACAGTTCCAAACCACGAAGGCCTTCAAACCCAAATGAAGATCGTAACAAGTTGTATTTGTTATAAATTATTTTTGAAGGTTTTCAAGTTGTTTTTTTTTAATGGAAATCAGAAGTTTGTTATATAATTTGAGGACTATTAGATATCATTGCTGGGTTGTGATAAGGTATTATGATTTTGTCTTAGGGTATATCCAGAAGCAACCCAAGCATCATCCCTAGCTTGAAACTTTGTAACCGTTGTTTTTAATATACATAACAAAATCAAAGACATTTAGGAATATGACAGTTAAAACTTTGGAATTGTTTGAATAACTCTCTCTAACGTAAATTCCAGATGACAAAACAAAGATTTTTGAAAAACCCAAGAACAATGCAATACTTTGATAGCTAGAAATTAGATGTTTATCATACATTAGGTGTATAGTTCTTCATTTTTGTTTATCATTAATTTGCGTGTGTAGTAATTATTAACAAACCTGCACCTGCAGCTAAAATTATTCTTTCTTTCATTTCTAGTTCGGAAAAATATGTGAACAAAAAATCAAAAAGGAAATCATATATATATATTTCATTGAAAAATGAGTAATGTAAAATATTCAAGGTCATCCCAAGGTCAAAAGAGTAAAACGAACTCGCCCACAAAAATCAAATCTAGTAATTGGTAAAAATCTGACATAATTAATTCTCTATAAAACTTTCACAATAAACTAGACATGATTCAAAAATTATTGCCAGATACAATGCTTATTTCCTACAGATATCTTATTTTTTACTAATACTTATTTCCTACAGATATCTTATTTTTTACTAATACTTGCTTTTGAATTTTTATCATATTTACACTCGTGTTTCCACCTGGTCTTACTAAGATTGCAAACAGACATATATTTATTACACTTAATACACATGAAATCTGGTTCCATGGTATGCTCTTTTTCCAAATGTTCTGTTAATTGACTAATGTCAACCAAGCCTATTTCACAAAAAAGGCAGTAAAAAACTAAAACTGGCACTGATAAATTTGTGACTTCAGCATTGGAATTCGCAGCAAGATTTTTTTTCAGAACATTAGGATAAATGAAGGTGATTTCGTCAGTGGTGGTATCTTGAATTCCGTTGAAAAATGTTAGTTGAGTTTCCATCTTTGGAATATACTTTTCATAGTAACACACCTCGGGTATAGGTCCAGCAAAATGGTATTTTCTGAAATCGATGATGATAATTCATTAATATTAAAAAATAAATCAATTCATTCATTGAATCCAAAGCAGATTTTCAAAAACAGACCAGTAATATGCTTGATTTGTGTAATTGATGTCTTGTTTATTTTGTGGAAATTCATGATCACTTTAATAAAATTAATGAAAACACTTATGTCTAATTTCTACTAGTTGTTTTATTTTATTATCCGTTTCGGGTTATATAGGGAGTTTGTAGGTGAGCTGGATGGGGACATAATTAGATGAACAGGGGTTGTCAACTATAGAAATCACCAGGGTTGTCAAACTTTTTGTTTTGCATTGAACATAATTCTGCCTAAATTATTATTACTTATGAAATCTGTTGTTATTTTGTATTTAGAGAAGTAATTTTGAATATTTTCTGAAAGTTTACCTGAGTAATTAATGCTACTATATTTACCTGCATTGTGTTCTCTGATATTTTGGTATAATTCACTTATAAGCGCTTTATGAGTTTTATCTGGTATTATCTTTTCTATTAAAGAAACTGGTATCTGATTGTTTAACGCAATTTGTTCAATTATTTTTAGTTCATCTTGGAAGTTCTTTACAGGTGAAGGGATTGCGAAAGCTCAGTGTATCAGTGACCTAAAGGACTCTTTCAATCCAATCTCACATAAATTATCCTGCTATTCCCGATTTGCTGGTTTCAGAGCATGTTTAGACTCATCAACATAACATCAAATGGTCAAAAGCTGAAATCATCCACAAGGAGAGGAACACTGGTTCAGAAGAAAATTCTAAGAAGCCGCATTGTTTTGTCCAACAACGCATTTAGCCAAGCTAGAATAGAGATACGAAAATCGAAACCTATAATCAAGAGGAAAACGGCCAATTCCCGCCAAACGATCAGCTTCCGCTAAACCAGTGAAGCGGAGAAAGGGAAGGAGGAATAGGCGAAAGCAGTCGAATGACCTATAAATAGTCATCTTTCGGAGGAATAAGTGCAGTCATCACCCGAAGACGATTGTGGGTATTAACAATCGAACCGTCGTGAAGTAACTTGGCTTGAAACCTATCAATTTTTTAATATTCATTTCTTGTTAATTGTTCAATTTTCAATTGTTGTTTGTATTTTATTTCATTGCAATTTCAGTGTTTTTTCTGCTTAATATAATTGTCATTTTCAGCTAACCTTTTTGATTTTATTGATTCTTTCAGGGATTTCAAATCATTTTATATTATATGGAAGTCCTCTCAGCACCAACTCCGTTAGTCGTTTAAATGTTGCGGGTGTATTGCATAATCCAAATGGCATGCACTTGAACTGATATAATTCATTGTCGGTAAAAAAGGTAGTCTTTTCTTTATCCTCTTTCATGTATTCTTGGGAGAGGGTAACTGCCCTTTCTGGTAACAACAATATAATCCACATCTCGTCGATCCATCTTTGTCGGATACCAGCACCACAAGTGACGACCACGGGAGGCTTGATTTTTAATCACCTTTTTCTCTAACATGTCCTCAACGATGGTTGACGTATAGGCTTGGCGCAGTATCGATGTTGAACTGAGTCTGTTCGACCAATGATTTTGTCCTTCAGATTTCTTCCTAATCGAATCGGGTAGCCTTCATTAGTTCTTTTTGAGGCAAATGACTACGTTTTTCTGAAGGAGTCAATGACTTCCTTCGCGGATTGTTGAGCACGCAGCAGGGGACTTCTTCCTAAATTCTGTCAATTTTCACAATCCGTTTGCAGGTGTCCATTACCTGACCTTTTTTGAGTCATCCTGTTATTAGGGTTGATTACTGGGATGGTCTGGAAAGACCTGGTTATGTGAAGTCCTACTTCAGAGTCGTTGGATGGCTTTATCAATGCCGTGTCTAAGCCACTAGGTCCAACAATCTCTGCTTGAATTATCATCTCAGTATTGGGAGAGATTTTGGAATCTTTCAGTATTACCACATTAATGCTGTCATAAAACTGAGAGGACATATCAAGCGGAACTTCATAATTTTCAACAGTTATGTCCACCACGAATCTGTAGGGGGACAAGATGTCTAGTCCCAAAATGAATTCCTCGACGATGTTGGCCGCTAATACCTCAGTTTTTATTTCACAATTCCCAAGTCAAATCTCATTTCAGCTTCTCCATAAACTGTCAATCTATCTTCAGTGTCTGTTTGCGGAACGAATAGTACTGACCTCGTTGCTCCATTGGTGGTCATTCAGAAATCAATCGACAACTGTTGCGTCCTGTCATGGAAATCAATACATGGGGGCTTGGAGTGCAGCGGCCAATGTACATCTCTATATTCTCGTTCAGATGATCAATCTTATCTCTCCTCGAATCCTGAACGTGATCAACAGTCCCGACCTAAATGTCTCTTTCTGCCGCAGTTGTAGCATTTAGGCCGTCCTCTTGCCCTAGATGCAATTCCATTCGTCGAATATTTCTTAAGGAGTTCCTCTAGACCTGCCATGAATCCGTCTATTTCTTCATCTTCCTTTTCATTGATGACCCTCACTAGCACTTTTTTGTTGGCGCGAATCATTTTTTGCAGCTTCGAAGTCCAGGGCATAAATGTCTCGTCATTGCAGTTGGATTCTAGGATATCGGCTGCGGATGCACATCTTCACTGGCAGCAGGAGGTTGCATATCTTAATGAGGATCTAGAGGTGATGTCGAGTAAGGGTGAAAATGACCAGGTTCAATTCAATGCCACGAAAATCCAGGCATCGGTTTTCTCCAAAAAGATAAATATCTCCGAACCGGATATAATAATGTCAGGACAGACAATTCCGCTTACTATTTCGATAAGTTTGTTGGGGGTTGGGGTGGTCACCAATATGTCTTGACACAATCATATCGCTGGAATTGCAAAGAATGTTTCTCAAAAGCTTGGAACACTATTCCAAACCTGAAGCTGCTGGATTCCATCCAGAAAAGAGCCATCCGCCTGATTGGAGACACGAACATCGAAGAAAGATTGGAGATTTGTCTCTCTTCTATAGATACTTTCACGGGAGGTGTTCAAGTGACTTGGAACATTTAATTTCACCAAGAGCGGTGAGCGGTACATATCAGTGTCTCACCGAGTTTGGTTCGTTTGAATAGCCAATGAAAAAATACGGAGACAGAATCAACAATCAAAATTCAATAAATGAGGTCTGTATGAGGTAAATTAGACATTGTGTCCTCTCCAATGAAAATAGAACTTTGAACAAATAATAATAACTAACTAAACGGTAAAGACAAAAGTAAATCACAGCAAATGCTCAAAATGCTGGCCTTGTTCATGATAACACAACTGTGCCCTTCTTCGAATATTATTCACTGCACGATTAATTTCCCTCTTCCTCAATCTTCCGAACTCTCTAACAATGCCGTGTTGAAAGTCCTTAATATTTTGATATTCCCTCTGACTATAAACTCTATTTTTCAGTGAACCCCATAAAAATGTATCCATAACACTTATGGAGATCTTACTGGCCTCCTCACCGACCCATTATTTCCTGTCACCAAACCTCTCAGTAAGGTGTTAGATGTTTGTCTGGTAGTGTGCGGTGGAGCACCATCATGTTGAAACCAGATGTTGTTTAGTAAGTCAAAGGTAGATAATCCAAATACTCTTCAAAAATCGACATTAAAAACTGATGATAGGTTTCTCCATTCAGAATTCCGACCCAAAATTCTATCTTTGTAAATTCCTGCCCACACAGTAATACTAAATCGCACTTGAGATTGAATTTTTCGGAACTGCCTGGGGTTGTTTATGCTCCAAATGTGTTCGTTATTTCGGTTGAATATCTCACAATTCGTAAATGTGCTTTCATCTGTCACAATTACATTTTCCAGGAAAACAGGAAAATCAGGTCTTCTTATTAGCCAATTACAAAATTCTAATCGCCTTTTGGTATCACCTGGGTGCAATTTTTGAGATGTGTGTACTTTGTAACATTTTAAACCGCTTTTTTAACACGTTTTAATTAGCTTTTCCTGTATGTATGTATGTATATTTGTAACTCTCAAGCTCGCGATCTGTATTTGACAGAATTATCGACCTTAATGCTTGATCTCTTCGCGGGCAGATGGCGCTGTACGTAACCTCCTTGATATAATTCGAACTCACTTTACATGTATTTCTATTAACACGCGCGTCTGCTGCCTTATTTGTAACCCTACTTTTCGCGCCTGCTTCCTTGGACTTGGTAGCTTATTTTCAGGCTCCCTCTCCGGAATCGGAAAATATCAATGGTCATTTTTCTAAACAATATACGGCTGAATGATCCCAAAGTTTAGATAAAATAAATATAGGTAGTTTAAAAAGACTAAAAAACACGCTTTTCAAGAACATCGAACATCGAAAATATTTTTTTTAATAAGCTTAAAACAATAACGAACGAAAAATACTAGTACTATTGTGAAAAAAGCGTGGGCGCTTTGTGCCATATTTTTCTATATCAAGCGCCGGTCTCCAAGCACTTGTATGACAAAAATTCATTTCGGAGGAAATTTGACGTGTGAATTTCCCCGGGCTCATGTTTATTTGCAAATTATTAATTTTTATTGAAAAGGACACAATGTCTAACTTACCTCATTTATCAAATTTTCTTTAGTTTCCTAGTCCATTCTGTCTCGCATTTTTTCCTCGGCTTTTCAAATGAATCAAACTCGGTGAGATTTTGATCCAATAAGTTAAACATAGTTCGATGTAGTTGTCGTCTTTCGGAATACAAGTTTAAATATATTTCCGATGTCCAAATACTGTTTCTATCGTATTTGTAATACATTTGTATCATATCCTTTTTTTCTTCATTCGTGAAAGCAGTTTTTCGCCAAAAATTCAATAACTTGTACAATTACAAAATGTCATTTAGTGTAACAAATTGAAAATCAAATTTTGAAATATCAAAGTCAAAGCCTGTTATGATAAGAATTATTATTTTTTCAATATCTCCAATTTTTCAAAAAAGAATGATAACTTATGATACATCATTGAAAAGGTAAAATCTGATTCTATTCAAAACAGTAAGAATCCAATGTAGCGGGGAAAAAGTGGCAATGTGGAAGTGCAAATTATTTTCGAATCTTTCGAAAAATGAAGCCAGAAAAAAATAAAAACCCTTTTCCGAAATTTGTGTTTTTTCCGGATGTACTCGGAATTTCAGAACTTTCTCAACGGCATTATGTTAGTCAGGTAAATGCGCAACTTTGTCCCAATTTAACCATCTTCGTATCTCTCATAGTTTCCGAGATCCCAATGGTAAGGATCGAATTTGATACACCTGTATAACATATCATTTCAAGTGCTTGTATATTCATGTATATTTCCTACAGTCATCCTTGTAATGAGGCCACCAGGTCCGTTAGGGTGAAATAAATAAATAAATAATATTTCAATTATTGTCACTATGGCTTACTTGGGCATTTTCTTGAATCGGAAATATGCAGACCTTCCTATATTAAATAGAACTGAAGTGTTGGTTGCCATTGTATTGTTTATTCCTATTTCTTCTATGTCTTTCAAAAACTCTTCAATAACTACCACTAAATTTTCAATAGACTCCAAATTTATCTGAAAAGTATAACAAAAATTCTGATTAGATATTACATCACCTAGTTAGAAAAGAGGCATGTTTTATTTACGTATGTTCTTTATATTTTATGGAAAGTTACAGTGTAATATCACATAATTCATAAACAATGTAAAAAACTGACAGAAATAAAATCGCATTTCAAAATGAGAATACAGTCTTTCTCTTTCAATAGTAATAAATTGTGCTGTACTTTTATATTCGGGAATTACTTTGAAAGTAACAATAATATTAGTTTATTTATTTCATTGAAACATTGAGATACAATGTTCACAGAAAAAGTGTCAAATACAATAAAGTAAAATATGCATTAAAAAAAAACAGCAGCCACACAAAACTTGACAGAATTATATTGAAAGGAAGGAGATATGGAAGTAGGTATATTTTCACATAAAAAACTCATTGAGAGAGTAGATAAACGTTTCTAACAACAGTGATCTCAATTCTTTTTTGAATCCCTCAAAACTACGTCTATCTTTTATATTGGTGGGCGATTCATCATTTATCTTGGAACCATTATAAAATAGACCTTTTCGATATAAAGTTGTACTGTGGTTATTTGTCATTAAGAATGTTTGGTCTTCTGGCGTACCAATGATCTTTGCGGTCTAGTTAAAAACTGATTCAATTTTGAAAAATCGGCTCTCATTGTAATTTAAATTTGTTAATACAATAGCTCTTTTTTGCATTACATTCAGAAGGTTGACCGCAGTGTACTAATAAATAACTCGTGAGGCTATCAACTGCTGCAGAATATAGTTGTCTTGATATGTTTCTACTATATTTTCTTTCAGCAATTTATAGAGCATATTTTGTTCTAGCCAGCTTAGTGTAGAGAAACTAAATGCTTGGCCCAGTTGGGGTTACAATCAATTATCAACTCGAACATTTTTCATTGTTCTTGATATTCAAGGATTGTTTCATTTAAAGAAATTGTTCTATCTGAGAGTCTTGACCTACTGAATAAAGTGCATACAGTTTTGTCTTCGTTTAGGAAGAGTTTATTTTTCTGTCCCTCTAAGCTGATTTTGGCATACAAGGCAGATTTTCTTTATTAGTATAACCACAGCCCAATACATGCAGAGAAATGAATTGATCAGTTTGGACCATAAATATAACTAGTGATACCAGTCATGAACAAAACAGTAAGTCAAAAAAATTATCGATATTTAGGCCCAAAACTTTTCAGCTCATTACCGATAAACCTTAAATGCGAGACAAATCCAAAAATGTTCATTAAAAACCTCAAAAAATATATCAAACTTATATCCCGTGCAGAAATACCTGGAAATATAGAGCACCAACACGATATTTTTCAAGCTTCAATGTAGTACATCTTCCAAACATATCTCTCTTCAACTAATATAATTAATGAGTCAGTATCATGAATTCAAAAATGGTTGCGTCATGTATGTTCATCTTGATATTAAGACCTCTGAGTTCTCTATGTGTCCTATACCATGTACATGCAATATGAATTTTATCATGATAATTATTTCTAAATATGTAGTCTGCTATATTGTGTCACTAACCAAGTATGTCTTAATTAACTGTAATCGCTTCCTTATACAATTTTGTATCCCTATATGTAACAATATGAATACTATATCTCTATTACTGTTTTCCCATTACCCCACGTATATTCCTTCCGATTTCACGATCTTGTGAGTCCTTTATATCGAATATATGTGTTATCATATGAATTTCATAATGTAAATAAGTTATTTTTAATTCGAATCTACTGTACTATGTCCATTAATCTATATACCTAATAACTTGAAATCGTATTATCCTCCCTTACACACAAGCAGTTCACTGCTTCGTAAGTTCTTGTTTTGTTTTATTCATATATTATCTAAATGAATTGTATTGATACCTCAATCAGAAAGTGAATAAAATTATTATTATTATTATTATTATTATTATTAATTGATCAGCGAGGAAAACAAAACTGATAATTATTATGTGTGATCAAAATATTAGTTTCATCAGCATATGAAGCTATTATACAGAAGTCATTGTTTTCACCAATGGCGTGTAGTAGATCATTGCTAAAGTAAACAAAACAAGACCCTTAGAATACACCACTAGTTACTGGAGCCAAGTTTAAAATTTGCCTACCCAGGCTGACTTTTTGAAAGCGATCGGATAAATATGAATCAAACCAATCATTAACTATACCTGATCTATAATACCATATCTCGATAATTTATGCAGAAAAATTTTATGGTTAACACAGCTTCAGAAAAGTTCTATACAATGCATGCAAAAAGAAAAATAATTAATATTTGCATAGAGCCGATTAAGCAAATAAGCAAATGTCTATTTTGTTTTTGAAACTGTTCACTGAGTCGGAATTCATAACATCGTTGGGTAAATTATTCCATGTTTCGAAAATACGATTCACCAAAAAATATTGTCTCTGCCTCGTTGCGAATTTTAATTTTTTTAATTTAAGTGTTTGACCACGTAACCGCGAATCATTATTGAAAACAAAAAGTTCTTTCTGATTAGCATAGTTATAATTAGCTATACGGAAAGATATGATGAGGTCCTCACGGAGTCGACGTTGGCCAAAAGCTAGCAGTTGTGCCATCCTCAGTCTTTCGGGATAGGTTGGACGCACTTCACCAAAAGTCATACGTGTGGCTCGACGCTGTACACTTTCCAAGTCCCAATCGCGCACCAGAACAGGACACCACACTGGACCTGCAGACTCCATGATTGGACGAACGTGGGTTTTGTAGAGTTTTATGGAACTTGAATATGATAGATGGAGGAACGTTTTGCGGATGAGGTAAATCAGTGGGTTTGCGCGTTTGCATGTGGATATTATGTTCGGACCAAGTTAAGTCGGTATTAACAGTCACTACCAAGTCTACATGTGAGGACACTGTACGTAACGATTGGCCGCTTATTGTGTACGTATGGAGTGGATTGTTCTTTCCTTGATAAAAGTACGACGCATTTGTCGACGTTACGAGGTAGAAGCCAATCCTCGCACTAATCGAGTTGAGGTCTTCTTGAAGGGAATGATGTTTGACTAAGGCATTTCCATACAGTTTAGTATCATCGGCATAAAATGACTTGCTGGACTTTATGTGAAGAGCAAGATCACTTGCATAAACAACGAAGAGGAGCGGGCCAAGAACAAATCCCTGGATAACTCCACTTGTGACTTGTCTTTGCGAAGAAAAAGAGTGACCCACTTTGACCGAGAAAGTTCTATCTGTCATGCAATTTTCAATCCATAGGTTTAGTTGGCCTCGAATACCGTGTGTGTCAAGTTTGTGCATTAGCCTCCTCACTGGGACCCTGTCGAAAGCCTTGGCAAAGTCAAGGTAAATGATATCTGTTGGTATTTTCCTATCGTAAGCTGTCGTCCAATCGTTCATGCATTGTAGTAGATTGCTGGTGGTTGATCTACCTTTGACGAAACCATGTTGTTCTGGTGGTATGATTGCGTTTTTTGTTAAAAATTGTGACATGTCTTCTACGATAATGGATTCCATTACTTTGGAAGGTTCAGATGGCTCTGTAGTTGGATCACTCTTGAATTCGGGAATAACTTGATATTTTCAATCTGCCAGAAAAAATACCTTTTTCTAAAGACATATTTATTAAAAACGTCAAAGGTTTGATAATCCATGAATTTGTTTGGGAAGAACATTATATATTTCGTCTTTACCACCACCGAAACCTTGGTCGTATTAATATCAATACATTATATCTAATTGAGGATGATTAAAATAAATTACATACAATATTGTCCTTATGTATACAATAGATACCTCTGCTAGGTCCCTGCGTCTTAATTGTCTTAAATTAATTTTACATGTTGCCTTATTCAACACTCAGGTAAATCTAATAATAAAATATGATTTCAACAAGCTATACAGGGCTTTTCATTATGAGCGTTAATTAGCTGTTTCTGACAAACTATTCAACGGATCAACCTGAAAATTTCACAGTATGCAAAATCAATATGACCTACACGCCTAAAATATTTCAAACGAAGCGGCGTTGTCGGTTCTACTATAAAGTAGAAGTTATAATATCATATTAAGATTCATTATCACTTTGTCAACAAATTGGGATATTTTAGAAGATATAAATTAATTTCGATATTTTTTTACCAAACATGAACTTTTATAAATGCTGATAGTCTTGAACTCTGAGGATCTTCACTCCGAGTCATATTTTCATTTGCCTCATACAGGGTCTTCAAAAAATGCATACTTTGATCTCATGAAAAAATGAGTGGAAATTTTTTTCAAATAGAACACCCTGTATATTTCAACATTTTCGAGCTCTACATCCAATTTTAGATCAACTTTGTTCAGATAATACTATTTCTATTTTGAACCGTTTTCGAGATAAACTGTTTCAAACGGAAACTGACGTGGTTTTCTTGCTCGTTTTTTTGAGTTCATCACTTATTTTGGATATTCAACTTTTTTTTTTTTACTTGGTAATATTTCTTTTTGATCCAGTTTTTTAACTGTCTCAGATCAGTCAATTCGAAATTGGTATGTACCTACCTTAGAAAAAGTTACAATTTGTATACATTGAGGTATTGGTCTCTAACGTACAACAGTACACATTGATATTTTTTAATAGTATGGTTTGGAAAAATAAATAAACCAATTATTTAACGTCAACTTCCGAAGCCGAATAATAATGTGATAAATCAACTACTAAAAAACTGTAGGTTGAATGGAACCTTCCGTCCAAAATTAATTATCTTTTCATTGTATTATCTGTGACTAATTGAGAAACATCAAACGAAATCTGTTTTACAAAAATGAGTGATGAACAAGGAAACCATGTCAATATCCGTTTGAAACAGTTTATCTCGAAAACGGTTCAAAATAGAAATAGTATTATCTGAACAAAGTTAATCTGAAATTGAATGTAGAGATGAAAAATGTTGAAATATACAGGGTGTTCCATTTGAAAAAATTGAGTTCCACTCATTTTTTCATGAGATCAAAGTATCTGCATTTTTTGAAGACCGTGTATGAGGAAAATGAAAATATGACTCGGAGTGAAGATCCCCATAGTATCACTCCACTCCATTTCAAATTTGATCGTTTTAGTGCAAGAGAGTTCAAGATTATCAGCATTTATAAAAGTTCATGTTTGGTAAAAAAAATATTGAAATTAATTTATATATTCTAAACGGTAATAGATAGGTATAGGGAAATAGTCTATGAATTTGTTGACAAAGTGATAATGAATCATAATATGATATTATATACGGGGTGCTCCATTTGAAAAATCAAAGAAGCCGCTACTTTATAGTAGAAGCGACAACGCCGCTTCGTCTAAAATATTTTAGACGTGTAGGTCATATTGATTTATGCATACTGTGGAATTTTCAGGTTGATCCGTTGAATAGTTTGCCAGAAACGGCTAATTAACGCTCATCATGAAAAGCCTTGTATAGTATACTATTAGGTATTGGTCCACTATCGTTATTCATAATATTATTATGTTTACCCATTTCTACACTCTCACAGGCATCTAGATGCCTGTTGTTGTTAACTTGTCTAACTAATCTTAATGAAGTATAGTCTATGGAATGGTTTTGTTGCAAAATATAATGGACAACTGCTGATTTTTCTGATCTTCCATATTTTAGGTGTGCTTGGATTTCCTAGAAGGCTGTGTAGTGTATGACATGTTTTAAATACCACCTTCATACCATACCTAGTTCCTTGAAAATCTTTCCAAAGTTCTTCGTATATTGGCGATACGGAACTGAGATATATTTGTCCTTGTTTTCGTCTTTTCTAAAAGTCGAGATTTTGTTCATTCTCAACCTAAACATTTTTTTTTCTTATAATATCATCTACAATGCCCCCCGAGAAACCGTTACCGACTGCAATTTCTTGCATTGTCCATGAACCTCTCACGGGAAAGCGGAAATGTCAAAAGACGATGTACTAGAAAATTCAGCCCAGCTTTGTGCTGTCCACAGTGATGTAAACTATTAGGAATATACCTGTAAGTGCTTGTTTCCTTCCTGAATACATCGTATTCTAGCTTTCCCAATTGACTCCTCATTACCAAAACGTCAAGAAATGGAAGTTGTCCCTTATTTTCTAACTCTTGACGTTTTGGTAATGAGAAGCCAATGGAGAAAGCTAGAATGCGATGTATTCAAGAAGAAAACAAGCACTTACAGGTATATTCCTGACATTTCACATCACTGTGGACATCACAAACGTGCTGGGCTGAATTTTCTAATACATCGTCTTTTGACATTTTCTCTTACACACGAGAGGTTCACGAAAGAAAAACGGACAATACAGGAAATTGCAGTCAGTAACGGTTTCTCGAGGGGTATTGTGGATGACATAATAAGGAAGAAGAAGTTAATAATAATAATAATAATAATAATAATCATTTATTGGTGCTAACATACAGCAGTATTTACACAAGTCGAAAAGAAAAAAAAAAAACGTTNGAGGAAAATATCAAAGTCTTTAACTATCGAGTAACATACAATTCAACAACAAAAGCATGAATCTATGACTTACTACTAGTAGGAAAACATTTAAAAAAACATATTTGAGTGTCATTCCCCCGGACTTTGGGTAATGCCGCTCAGGGGACGGGGTAACAACGCTCACACATTTTGTTTGGGAATATAATTGGTAAGACACATTTTAATTAAACAAATATCAATGAGATCAACCTTATACAATAAAAGTTGAGTCTACAAACTAGTATCAATTACCCTCATTTGTACTTAATATTAGTATATTTCGATTCAACAAATATAGTAAACTCTTCAAAATTGAATAAACTCCAATTATTATAACATAGTATGGAATAATGATGAAAATTAGAGGTAAAACAAATTAGTGAACACATAAATCACATATATATCCATCCGGCGAATCCCACCCTGAACATATAGCGTGAGCCCACATTGCACAGTTGGTGCAGCGATACCACAGCTCGTTATTTTTTCCAAATTCTTCGCAGATATTAAACTTGTTATAATTTTCGTCGTCAACATACATTTTGTCATCACTGTCATCATCGCAAAGCTGTTCTTCATCTTCAGTCTCTGAAGAATTTTCTTGTTAAATTTTTCTCTTGTAAGATTTTTGTTTGATTTGTTTGCTCTTCTTTTCTTTGACACCTTTCTTTGGTTTTGATTGATCATCTTTTTCAGTCTTCTTGAGTTTTACCAGTTTTTTCTTTTCTTTATCCTCTAAAATAGTTTTCATAGGAGTCGCAGTTAATACAGTAGCATGTTGTTTTCATTTTCTTTGAGCTGGCTTGGAAGATGGTGCAATAGTTGGTGTTGTTGCTATAGAATTAAAGGATACCGTAGTTCTTTGCTCATCAACAAGTTTTTTTGTTACAAGGACTTGCTGAAACAGATTCAGAGCATTGGTCCTTATTTGATGGTCCTGGTAATGGAGATGCATGTCCCGAAATTATTATCATATCAACAGATTGAACATCTTCAAAATTCTGAACGTTTGGGTCTTGGTTTCCAGCAATTTTTTCCGATTCTTGTAACATCAATGACGCTGCCAGAAAGTCTTCATCAGTGAAAATATTTGGGTTCAATGGAAAAATTCCTGTGGCTGAAAATCCAGATTCTGCTTTACTAATATTAGCAACTTGTGCGTAAGCTTTATTGAAAAGACCTGCAACGTCTTATGGGGTGATTTTAGACATTAAATGTGTCTTCATGTGCCTGTTGCATTCATAAGCAGCTTTCAACGGCCCATAAAAAGACACATCCAGCGGCTGCGTTCTGTGGGAACTGTGTGGTGGAATGGAAAGCATGGTAATGTGGTTTTCCTTGCAAAAATCAAAAGCTTGAAGCGAAATGTGACAGCTGTGATTGTCTAGAATTACCAACACAGGTGATTCTTGGGTAGGCTTAACGAATGCAGCAAAATGTTTGAGCCAAGTGACAAATAGGTCTTCGTTAATCCAGCCATTTTTAGAGTTGGTGTATATTGCACCAACTGGTCCTTTTTTTTTTATAAAGGCGTCATTCTCCGTCTGGCAAAAATAAACATAGGCGATATAAAGTTACCAGCTGCACTCATAGCACACATAACCGTAATGTTGCTTCCTCATTCACCGCTTGTAACTGATCCTACTCGTCTTTGTCCTTTTTCGGCGAGCACTTTTCCCGGGTCTGTTACCGTGGTGATACCAGTTTCGTCACAATTGTATATATTGTTGGGAATAAATTTATATTTTTCCATTAAGTGCCAAGTGTATCATAAAAATGTGTTATTTCTTCTTTGCTAAAAGCAGAAATTCTATTTAGGCTTGTTGCTTCAGCTTTGCGTACGGTAACTGAAGGATTGCGTCTCATAAAGGCGTGTACCCAATCCAATCCTGCTGTTTTGATCGAAATTGTTTTTGATATTGTTGAGCTCAGCATATTTATAAACAAGCTTAACTTGTTCTGCAATTTCATTTTCTTGTTGTTGGGTAAAAATGGGCTTGCGACCTAGCTTTGGGTTGCTCAAGTTGTTATTTTTTAGTCGATCTCTCAAAGTAGTAAATGGTATGTTAAATTGTTTTGCCGCTTTTATTTTGGACGAACCTCCTTCAATCGCAGTTTTAGCTGCTTTAAGGTCTGCTTCGGTCCAAGCCGCTTTAGCGGTCGTCCTTCAACGATTTCTTGGCATATCTGCAACAGTAAAAAATTAAGTTACCAAGGGGTAATGGCGCTCAGGTGAGCGGTATAACCCCAAACGGTGGTTTTGTCATAAATTTAAAAAAAGTTTTACACTTTTGTTGACAATAGATTACATTAATACAAAATAGAATAGTTTTATGGCCAGAAAAGTGAAATTAATAATTAAATAAACATTTGAATCTTGGACTTACCGACAAAAACAAATAACCAAAAATTACATCGACGCAGCTGCAAACAAAGAAACGCGTTTCACTGTCAGACGACGCGAGCTCACTGGCAGTTTGAATCGTTTCCTATTTGAGGCGCTTCCTAAGCGCCCCTCACTTGTCACTCGTGTTGCTACGTGCCGTTTTGACAGAGATACAGAGGAGCGCGCCATTACCCCTGCTTACCCCGAGATCTTTTAAGTTTTGGTATCTATTTAGTGAGTTTGATTCTATTTTATAGTCAAATATCAACGAGTTAAATTTTCTTGTGAAAGTTAATACACAGACATTTATGACATTGAACTCAAAATATAATTTTGACATTTCTTTGGGTGTTTTGGCAATGTTCAAGATTTCGAACTTCATGAAACATTTTCAGTTCATCGGTCTACTAAAGTTTGAAACAATACATTTCCATTAAGAGATCATTTATGAAAAGGAGAAATAACAATAAGTTTGATTCTTGAGGGACTTCAGATGTGGGTCTGATAATGGGAGAAACGTATCCTTTGTATTCAACATACTGCTTGCAAACAAATAGATGCAACTCAAATATCTTAACTAATTTCTCAGATTACCCAACTATATAATAATAATAATAATAATAATAATCATTTATTGGTGCTAACATACAGCAGTATTTACACAAGTCGTGTAAGTCGTTAAGGTAAGAATGAACGAAATCTCGACTTTTAGAAAAGACGAAAACCAAGATAAATATATCTCAGTTCCATACCACCAATATACGAAGAACTTTGGAAATATTTTCAAGGAACTAGGTATGAAGATGGTATTTAAAACAATTCATACACTACAGAGCCTTCTAGAAAATCCAAAGGATAAAGTCGAGAAATCGGAAAAGTCTGGTATTTACGAAATTAAATGTAAAGACTGCGATGCAAAATATTATGGACAGACTAAAAGATCTATTATAATAAGATATAAGGAACACTTAGCACACCTAATATATGGAAGATCAGAAAAATCAGCAGTCGCCCATCATAATTCGCAACAAAACCATTCCATAGACTTTAATTCATTAAGATTACTCAGACAAGTTAACAATAACAGGAATATAGATGCCTACGAGAGTGCAGACATAAGTAATAATAATATTATGAATAACGGTGGTGGACCAATACCTAATAGTATACTATATAGCATGTTGTAATAATATTTTTCATTATCAGACTTACCTGACTGATTTTTTACCTAAACCTAGGTGAAGATATGTCATTTCTTAGGTAGAAGGTCACATGATTAAAATTGTTATTACATAAAGCATAAATTAAGTAATATTCAATCAGTGTAAAAACGTTTGAGAAAGCTATTGCATAGAGAAACACGTGTTCCGGTTTTCTAAACTATTCAGTGAAAATCTCACAATAATGTTACTTTCCGAAATATTGATTTAAGGGAAACATCTATACTTACATTTTCCATAGTCTTAATGACCTCCAAATATTGGTTGGTATAAGTTTTCAAAAGATTGAGAGTGTAAGAATTTCTTTCTTCAGATGGATTCAATATTTCAACTTGTTCGATGAAATTTGTATTATCAGTTTCAACATGCGTAGGGCTAAAAAAACTCAAGTATCTGATATATTCACCACGATTGTATCTTTTGAATGATAATTCTGGACTGAAATATTCTACTCCAATGTATGGCCAATTGAGTAGTTCCTTCAAACTCAAAGGAGCCCAGGTTGGGTGCTGATGTTGTTGCACAATGATGTCATCTAAAATTTTGTTAAAAGTGAATTCCATAGATATTTCGGTCACTCAGCATACATACAAAGGTATTTTATTTAAATTCAAATTTGATTAAGTATTACTTCTCCAGAAATGTTTTATGAACATTTTGGTAAAACAAACGATCATATTGTAGAAAAACAATGTATACATGATTTTTTACAGTTTGTTTTGTGAATGAAAAATAAGGAATGTTTATTAGTAGTTTTTTTCAAATGCCAGAAACTGCTATAAGTCTACTACGAGTAGACTTATAGCAGTTTCTACTACGAGTAGACAATCAAAGAAATTTGATTGTTAGCTAAAGGTGCAGTTTGTCCCAGATGATCATTATAAATATAAGTTTCTGATCATATGTAGGGTAAGCAGGGGTAATGGCGTTCACTTAAGGAAAACATGGTTTATTTTTTGAATTGTTTAATATAAATCAAAATTGAGAAAAGTATCAAAGTCTTCAACTATCGAGTAACATTCAATTCAACAACAAAAGCATAAATCTATGACTTACTACTAGTAGGAAAACATTAAAAAAACATGTTTGAGCGTCATTACCCCGGACTTTAAGTAATGCCGCTCAGGGGACGAGGTAACAAAGCTCACACATTTTGTTTAGGAATATAATTGGTAAGACACATTTCAATTAAACAAATATTAATGAGATCAACCTTATACAATAAAACTTAAGTCTACAATCACAAACTAGTAACAATTACCCTCATTTGTACTTAATATTAGTATATTTCAATACAACAAATATAGTAAACTCTTCAAAATTGAATAAACTCCAATTATTATAACATAGTATTTGTGATTGTTATTAAAAAAATCGGAATCAATGACCGTTGAATGAACTCCAGTAATAATGAATACATATTTGCCAAAGTTGACAAAGGACTTTGCTTGTATATCTAATCCCTTCACCATCAGCAGAAAAAAAACAGATTGAATTTTCAGATTCTACATAAAAAAATTCATACAAACGTTCACTCAATAAGTGATTGTTTTGAAATTAAAATTGAGAAACCATCTGATCCATCAAGTACTGACGTGACCAGAGTAAAAATTGCAATACATTGAAATACGGCATTTCATCTTTACCTGATGGTCCAATTAATTTCAGTTCTTGTGGATTCCGCGGACGAATCACAGATACTGAAATAGTACAGTAAAAAATTTCATTCAGAGGTGACAGAGAACAAATCGAAGTACTCACTACCAAGTATGTAGAAAGTAGCAAATCTATTCGCTTAGGAATAAAAGAAGTAAATATGTCGCTGGCATACAAATATATACTGATTGGCTATCAGAACATTTGTTTCCAAAGTAGATTGTATGACTGTATATCAAAAATATATTTAACTTTTCTCGGGGCAGAGGTGTATGAATTACTATTTTGATAATTGGTACTTTTTTAATGGATATTTTCGATATCTGGGTGGAAGAGGATAGAACAAGATACCTTTGGTAAAAACACTGATTGCTACAGATATCATCGATCGTTAAAATTATAATTTTTAAAATTAATATATTCTATTGAACTCATATGATTTGATTATTTTTATCAGGTAGGACCAAGAAAAAACGCAATCAATTTCATAGTTGGAATTAACTTGCGACGAATCTTCCAAATCGAAGACGTTGCACAGGTACTTGATGGTTTTACTTCAACTCTCTGCGCGGCATTAGCTGGGTTAGTTGTTTTTCGTTGGGTGTTTGCCACACGTACCTACAAAGTCGTAGAGGCAAGAGGTAAGATGTTTTCACCTGAACATAAGGCATGTCACATGCAAGTGTCCGGAATATTATATATATATACAACTTGGTGTGACACCCAAGTCAATTTGCCAAGTTTTTATGTCAGTGTTGGTGGTTTGACCAATCAACCGACAACTGCCTTAGCAGAAATTTGGGAAGCTAACCTGAAATGCCATCGGAAAACGAATCCACATGTTTCTAGAAATGATATGAAATCTAGAAAGGTTAATGCAGTCAAGCTGCTGGAAAATAATTCCATGAAAATCAAAAAATAAATAGATAAGTACTCTTTGATCATTCCCATATTGATTTCAATTTAAG